AACGACATTTGTGAGTCCTCGTGATGGCTAGAAGAGAAGAAAAAAAAGTACATTATATAGAAACGGAGAAGGGTTGTCATATGTTGTATGTTAACAGCTTAGAAATAAAAGACTCACAGTATGCGCCTCACACCTCCAGGTAAAAAACGAAGGAAACGACAATATCGATTTTTTAGTTTATGGCTAATCCTAAATGAATATGGATTTTTTATCTATTGCATATTTATGCAAAAAAAACATTTTGTTTTTTTACGACAATCGATTTGCATATTCGTAATAGAATAACCTTCGATTCCAATTTAAAAAAAGTAAATATTTATTGACATTAAAGCAATGAAATAGAGAACGAACAATATATTTCATATGTACTCGACGGGATGTTGTTCTTTTTCTTTTCATTCTTCTTTTCCAAGTATAATTAAATAACCAATACACAGAGATAGATGGCGCCACTTTGATTTTTATTTGTTGAAATAAAAAGAAAATCTTTAAATTTCAATAGATCTTTTTCAGAAATTTTATTGTATTTTTAAATAAAATAAATATTTTTTTTCTTAATATTAATTCATAATCCTAAGCAACATCCTCAATCTATAATGATCATGGCGAATAAGTTCACCTACCTATATTAACATTCAAAAAGTAAAATAAGATCAAGATCAATATGGATAAATATATGATAATTTCGCCAATTGGCGAAGGTTCTTTTGCAAAAGTTTATCGCGGTCGAGAAAAATATACTGGACGGGTACGTTCTTAATATCCATCTATTTCATTAACTTCAAAATAAGAAAATAATACTTTTTTTTTCCTTTAGGATGTTGCATTAAAATTCATTTCTAAATTAGGTAAAACAGAAAAAGATTTAAATTTTTTACGACGTGAAATTGATATACTTCGAAAAATGAAACATGAACATATCGTCGAAATGTTGAATAGTTTTGAAACACCTAATGAAGTAAATGAAAAATGATTTTATTAATATGTTATTTATACGAGTTTCTTTTATATTGAAGATTGTTGTTGTTACTGAACGTGGTCTTGCTGATCTTTATCAATTATTAGAAGATGATGTTAGTTTACCAGAAGATGCGGTATGAAAAGATAATTTATTCTTTTGTATGATTGTTTGTGGTTTTTAAGGTACAAAAAATTGCTTGTCAATTAGTATCAGCTCTTTATTATTTACATTCTCATCGTGTTCTACATCGAGGTTTGATTTGTTATTTTTAAAATATAAAATTTTCATTATTATTAAATAGATATGAAACCACAAAATATTTTAATCTTTCCATCTGGAAGAGTAAAATTATGTGATTTTGGGTAAGCAAAATAGTTTACATAAAAACGTTGTTTTTGAAAATGCTATTATTTAGTTTTGCTCGAAATATGACAATGGATACAATGGTGTTAACATCAATTAAAGTTAGTTTCTGTAGTTTTTATCAATACATCTTATAAAATCTTACAATTTTTTAGGGAACTCCACTGTATATGTGTCCGGAACTTGTGGGTGATAAACCATACGATCATTCAGCAGATTTATGGTAAGCGATATTTCATATTTAAACAAAAATAATTCATTCCACTCGACTGACATTGCGATTATCATAAGAATACTTTTGTGAAACACGATCTAAAAGGAGTGTTGAATTACAGACGTGACCGACAAATGTTCTTTTGACCTCGTCACCGACGTGACCGACAGGTCATTATAGGCCTTCATATAGGTAATCAATGTAGCAGCACCAACCATAAGTGACAGATGTTCTTTTGATTATACCATAGACTGTGAGGGTCATAGACATGACCACTTAGTTGCAGAATAAAATGAAACTATTGGACTCATACTGTTTAGGAAAGACAGATACAGAAGTAGTTTTGTTTATATTAATCGATTTTTCTATTGAGTTTTGTAACAACTGTTAAAATGATAATTAAGTGAGTTTAATATATGTAGATTATTTCTTTCTGATATTTCTATACCGTTATGCTACAGGATGAGGTAAAAGCTACTTGATAATGTAACAATTAAACTATCTTCTTGGAGGTAGAAACGCAGTTGGATCGTATTTCACATTTTTAATCTCGCCAGGGATTGCGCTAACAGCTTATATATATATATATTTATTTCTAGGGCACTCGGATGTATATTATACGAAGTTTATCATGGTAAACCTCCATTTTTTACCAATAATGTATTTCATTTAATCAAAATGATTGGAAAAGGTATTATTTTATTAATAACTTTTCTAGTAAAATTTATATCTAATGTACATTTAGAATCTGTTAAATGGCCGAAAGTAATTAGTCCTGATATGCGTAGTTTCTTAGAAGGTCTTCTTACGAAAGATTCTACTCATCGTTTAACATGGCCAGATTTATTACAACATCCATTTGTACGAACAGGAGTTAAAGGTAAAATATTAATCTTTGTTTTCTTCGAAAGTATATTTAATCGATAAAATAGTTCCACTTTTAACTGAATCAATTATTGGTCCATTAACACAACCACCAACTGAAGAACAACGTATTTTAAAACAACAACAAATTAAAGCTAAAGGTGTTTCACGTGGTCCTTCAAAACTTCTCTCAAAATTTATGCCAGATGAACATCGAAAAGTAAATTCATTCGATTTGATTTTTATATTTTAACTAAATTTAAAATATAGGATGCTCCAAAATCACCTGGAAATAAAGATAAAACTCCAAAGAAAACAAAAATTCCAACACCACAAAAACCTGAAGTAAAACAACCTCCTCCTCCTCCACTACACCCACCACCTCCTCCGCCACCACCACCTGTTGAACCCATTATTAATCATTCTGCTCTTATTGTTGATTCATTAACAAGTCAAGATGATAAATTTGTATCTGCACGCGACAATCTTACTACATCTCGAACAACTGAAGAACAAGAAATCGAACAATATGCTGAACAAATCGAATCAATGTCAAATGAACAATTAATTCATTTAATTCAACAACCAGCATTTGCTCAATTATTTCAAACAATTCAAATAACAGTCTTATCCAAACTATTAGAATGTACTCTTAATGGTGCTTCATTCTATCGAAATATGATGAAAATTATTCGTTTTATTTTACAAGCTGATATTGATCCGAATTATATTATTTTATTTACAAATACAATTCATGTACCAGATTTACTATTAAAACATCTAAAAGCAATTTTTGATCATTCAACAATTCGAAAAGAAGTAAAATTTTATTATTTTATTTCATTTTTTATATATTTTTTTCTAATTAAGCCTTGGTTTGCTCATATTCTTTATGATATTTTAATTGTTTTACGTCTTTGGTTTGAATTAATTACTGCGTATACACTTCAACAATTAGATGAAGATCAATGTCAATTTTATTTAAATATGTCACATGAATTTCTTGAATTAACATCACTAATATTAAATATAGGATCAACATTAGATTACACGATTTGTTGTGAAGCATTAATGATATTAATTATTCTTTGTGAATCATATGAAGATGCTTCACCGATACTTTGTCAAGCGTGGTACGATCCAATACGTTTAGATAAATGTCAAATATGGTCAGCAATTGCTCAATTAATAACAACGAATTCTAGAATCGAAAGTAAAAATAATAAAGAAGATATTTATAGAAGAAAAAACTTATTATTTATATAGATCCAAATGCCGAAATTTACAACGAAACATTAATGTATACTGTAGCTACTATAGCAGCTCTTACTTATCCATCACAATGTTTACCTGATGAATTACTTGAAGCAAAAATCAAAGTAATATGAATTTATATTCACTGGAGAATAAAATATTTACAAACGAAGATTTTTGTTTTTTTAGGTAGCAAATTCTCTTGCATTAAAATTACTTGATTCGAATTATGCGGCATTTCGTGATGTATGGCTTGGTCAATTTTATACACCAAAATGTTGTTCAAATATTCTTAAAGTATATTTAAATATTAATAAATAAATAGATTTTATTATTTTCTATTCTAGGCACTTTATGGAATGTGTTTATCAACACCACGTTTTACTGCATTTATATTTGATGGACCATTTGTATCAAATGAACTTCTTAGTTTAATTCGTGGTCAGGTATGTTGCTTTGAAAATGAAATATTCTACTTGATTATATTATTATTTTAATAGATTGCAACAGAAGAATCTGATTTAGATGAAGCAATTGAATTATCAATTCATATTAGTACTGTTATGATAAAACAAATTATTTTACAATAGTAAAATATTTTCTTAAATATGTATTTATGTTTTATTATTTATTAATTTATAGTGATAATAATACACGAATTGATCTACGAAATCAGCCAATAGTTAAGGAAGATCGTAAATTAGAAAAGTAGGAATTCATATATATTTATTTTTAAACTCGATAAAATGAGATAGAGACGGGTGTGTGTGTGGGTGTATAAACCACTCTTCTCTCATAATAGAGAATATGTCTTGAAATCCGGAGAGTAAAAATCCGGAAAATTTCTGATATTGTTCTAACAGAAGAAAATGATAATATTCTTTCATAAATGTTTATGGTTGTCTACGTCAATCATGATTATCGTCTACCGAGTGCCACTCTACTTCACTGTGCTCTGCACTTCAATTAGCAAATATGCCCAGACGTGCACCTTGAGAGTATGAGTGTTGTGTGCATGCTTTATCCACACCCACACCATCTAACTAAAGTCAATACTCTTGCCAATAGGATTGCGACAGTTCCAGTTCGAAAGAACTGAGCCTGAGCTTTCACGGTCCTACATGCCAAACATTTCGAGAGCAATGAGATCGATCGCGATGAGTATCCCATGGGACTTTCTTTATTGGTGGCTACTAAAAAGTGAACCACATCACTTCTCTTCAAATCAAGTGATTTCTCTTCTTTCTTGTACATGGTTCTTTGTTAAATAAACTGTTGAATCTTTTTTCAAAACTTTTCCGGATTTTTTCCTCCGGATTTTTTCTTTCCGGATTTATTTTTCTCCGGATTTTTTCCTCCGGATTTTGGGACAATACCATAATAGACACCCAAACCCACCCACCTACACTCTTTACGGACTTCTGGTAAAAGTAGTAAAAAAAATCAATTCCGAACACCTCGACAAATTACCGGGTGTCCGAGACACCTAGTACGTTATGTCTTTGGCCCAAAAAATGAATAAAAGAGTATTTCGAAAATAATAACTGTCAATGAAGCATTTACTTTACGTGCAAGGAAAGATTTCTAACTATATAATTATTTTTCTATCATAGACTTCAACCAATAACTACTCATATAGCTCAATTAGC